AACACCAAAAGCGACAATTTAAAATATATATATATATATAAACGTTTATGTCATTTGATGTGAATTTAAGAAATTATTTCCAAAAATTTATAGATACATATCAATTACGCGAATTAAATTTTACCTAAGTAAAACAATATAGACTAATTTATTGGTAAGCTAAACATGAGTTTTTTAATTCATTTTAATTTTATATTATTATTATTATTATTATTTATTTATTAAAAAAAAAAAAAAAATTAAACACGATACTACTACTACTATAGTCAATTAAACAACTGTTATTTGTACTTATATAAAAAATATCTACCATCACGCGCCTGCATTAAATTAAATAAAAACAATTATCATTTATATAATATATAATATATAAAAAAAAAGTTTTGTTAATTTTTAATTACTATCAATATTATTATTATTATTATTATCTTTTAATTATATATATCATATATCATATATTAAATATTAAAAATCTTTAAATGACAAAACAATCCGTCTAAAATTTTTCACATTAAAAAAAAAAAAAAAAATTATTATTAACTAACTAATTTATATATATATAAAAAAAAAAAAAAACTTTTACAATTATCATTATTATCATTATTATTATTATTATTATTATTATTATTACACTAGCACACACGTAATGATAATCTTATTTAATCTTTTTACGAATAAGTATTCCAAAAAGAAAAAAAAAAAAACATTAATAATAATAATAATAGTAACGGAGCCTTAAAGAGCAAAAAAGAAAACATACTGAAAACAAACGAAAATAATAATAATAATAACAATAATAAAATACAAATTAATTCATTTACAAAAGGGGGAGAAAAAGGGGGGTAAAAAAGGGTTAATTGCATTGATTTAAAAATTACGACGAATTTAATTTTTTAGTCAGGTACACGAGTACCAGGTACCGAAATATAAAGATATTTTTTTATCATTATTTTTAAAAAACAGCAGACGACGTATATAAAATTCATAGAGCAAAGTTTTCCCTTTGTTATTATCATTATCGTCGTCATTAACAAATTATGAACACCGAATAAGAGTAAATGAATATAAAAAAAAAACGAAACTCTCGTTCCTTTTTTTTTTTTGAATTAATTATTACGTACATTATTATTATTATTATTAATTGTACCGTCATATCATTTTAATAATTATTAATAATAACATATAAGAATATACACGAACAAATAATAATAATAATAATAATATTGCAAAGAAAAGCGCAAATATTACAATAATAATAATAATAATAATAATAATAATTTATATGTATATATATAGTTTTTTTTTGTTGTTGTTATTGTTTGTTGTTGTCATTGACGTCATATTCTTGTAATATATATAAAAAATAACTTTTTTAAAATTACAAACACACACAAATTTTATAGTTAAATTAATTAAAATTTTTCTAACTTAATTTTTTTTTTTTTTTTGTTTTTTTTATATATATTAATATTCTTAAATTCACATGTAATCAATTTATATATCAATTATAATAATTATTATTATTAATATTATTATTTATTTATTTATTTATTTATTTTCGTAATAAAAAAAAGAAAGAAGTGATAAAAATATCAATTAATTAATGAGGTCACATTATTTTTTTTTTATTTATTTATATTTGTAAGGGTTTAAACAAACTACCCTGAGCTTGATAATTATAATAAGGTACGCACGCAGTGTTTTAAGAAAAAAAAAAAAAACAAACAAACGATAAAAGAAGGGAGGAGGATGTAAATAAACGGCAGGGAAAAAAGAAAGGACGGGGAAAACGAAGAGCAGGGAAAACGAAGAGCAGGGAAAAAAAGAAGACGGGGAAAACGATGAGCAGGGAAAAAATGAAGACGGGGAAAATGAAGAGCAGGGAAAAAAGAAGACGGGGAAAACGAAGAGCAGGGAAAAAAGAAGACGGGGAAAACGAAGAACAGGGAAAAAAGAGAGCAGGGAAAACGAAGAACAGGGAAAAAAGAGAGCAGGGAAAAAGAGGACAGGAAAAACGAAGGGCAGGGAAAAAAGAGAGCAGGGAAAAAGAGGACAGGGAAAAAAGAGAGCAGGGAAAAAGAGGACAGGTAAAACGAAGAGCAGGGAAAAAAGGGGGCAGAGAAAATAGGAGAAATAAAGGCGGGGAAAGGGGAGGGAGGGTAACTGAAAGAAAACTGATATGAAATTTTTGCATTTTTTATGCTTACGAAATATTATCTTATTTAGTTTTTTTTCTTTTTCCCCGACGACAACAATAAAAATTCGTCGCAATCGTAAAAAAGAAATTAAATAATAAAAAATCCTTTTTCGGAGTGCAAAACAAAACAATTAACGGTCATTTTTCGTACCGTTAATTAATTTCCCCTGACAAATATTAACTAAAAAAAGGGAAAAATTAAAAAAAAAAAATGGCGGAATCGTAAATTTTTGTCGCGGTATCAAATTTATTTTTAATCACTTCAACTTTTTAATATTTAAATCGAAATATACTCTCGACAGTGGGAAAATATCGAAAAAAAAAATCAGGTTCGACAATATTGAAAAAAAAAAAAAATTCAAGTTATTAACCATCGGGGAAATTAAAAAAAAAAAAAATTTTTTTTTTCGTTTTTTTTTTTTTTTGTTTTTTAAACGCGTTAATTACGTTTTTAATGACGTAACAAAGAAAATTTTTTTTTTTTTTTTTTTTTTAATATCCCAAAAGGAAAGACAGTCTTTCAGTCTCTCCAGTGCATTAAAAAAACAAACAAATAATAATAATAATAATAATAATAAAATTGTTTTTGTTTTCGATAACCTTTCGCATATCAGGCTCCAACTTTTTTTCTTTTTTTTTTTTAATAAACTATTAACCGAAAAACAAACACAAAAAAAAATACATAAATAAATCCTGAAGGAAAGGGGGAGGGGATAGGAGGGAGAAGAAAAGAGACAAAAAAAAATGGATATATACGAATCATAGGTAGGAAAGAGAGAGAGGAGGAGAGGTGAGAGAGAAAGAAAGGTAAACAATACAATTTCGGCTGTTAATGTTAAAATAAAATTTAATTGTTTTCTTTCTCTCTTCTTTTTTTACGACTTGTTTTTTTTTCAATCTTCCTTTCAACAGAGAGAGCAAAAATAAAATTCTCCAGGATATATTTTGTTTTTTTCTATTTCCACGACTCCTGGAACTTTACCAACCAAATCGTATATATAAAATACAAATAATTTGCATTTGAATAACATTATCAGCCGATGCGTATTATTATTAAAAAAAAAAAAAAAAAAAAAAAAAAAAAAAACGAAATCATTTCGAAACCGGGTCAAATTTTTAAAGGGGAAAAGAGGGAGGGGAAGAGGGAGGAGGGAGGAGGGAGGAGGAAAACTTAAAAATCCTCGCATCATCATCATCATCGTAATCATAATCATAATCATAATCATCAGCAACAACAACAACAACAGTAAGAACAACGAATTTAACAAAAAAAAAAAAAAAAACAACAATTCACAGACACCGATAACTTATTATTATTATTATTATTATTACCATTATTATTATTACCATTATCATTATTATTATTATTATTATTATTTTGTCAACTTAATTTCTAATACTAATAATTATATTAATTAATAATTTTATTAATAATTTTCACGCTTTCGTTCAATATTAATTTCTTATAAAAAAAAAAAAGATTTTTTTTTTTTCTCGACACATTAATAAAAAATAATTATTATCGTTTGTTTGTTTGTTTGTTGTTTGTTCGTTTGTTTTTTTTTCGTTTTCTCGAGTTAGAATGGCAAAGCTTTTACAAATAAATAAATAAATTTTTCCCCTTTTTGACTTACTTGAGTGAGTCATTACGATCCTAAAAAAAAAAAAATTTTTTTCTTTTTTTTTCAAATTTTACTTCATTCATTAGACATAATTTCGGCCTTGTAATTACGAGATATCGATCGATCGATCGATCGATGAATCGACGCATCGAACGATTTTTTACGGGTGTTGAAAAAAGAAAACCAAAAAAAGAGAGACAGACAGAAAAAATTTTTTAGTCATTGCCCCGATGGAACGTCGTCCTCGTCGATTCGTTTCAAATTCAACGAATGAATGAATCAATCAATGATTGAATGAATGAATGAATGAATGAAAAAAGCAAACGAAAATTTTCAATGTCGATTATTAATAAATACAAAAAAAAAAAAAAAACTTCAAAGCAAACAAACAAACTAATAAAAAAAAAAAAAAAAAAATTTTTTTTGACGTCATCGTCACCATTTTACAAAAACAAGATGGCGACCAGAAAAAATTTATTATCTTTTTTTTTTCTCTCTCTCTCTCTCTCTTTGTAATAAATGAACGAAAATAATTTTATTAGAAAACTTTAAAAAAAAAAAAATTAATAATAATAATAATAATGATAATAACAACAACAACAAACGAATTTCTGTAAAAAAAAAAATAAAATAAAAAATAATAAAAAAAAATTCGTGAACCCGCCGCCATTTTTTTTTTTTTTTTTTTTTTTTTACTTTTAACAATAATTAAATTAAAAAAAACAATATTTACGTCATAACCGGTTTTTCCCTCTTTCTTCAACATCCGGTTTCTTTTCTTTTCTTTTCGACGTCACGCGGAGTCGAGTCCGGTTTTTGTTTTCTTTTCTTTTTTTTTTTAACCTACCACGGGATGTAAGAGGAGGCAATGTTTTGTTTGTTTGTTTGTTTGTCGTATGGTTCGATGCGGAGGCCTGTGTTGTTAACTTTCGCTCTTTCTTTCTTTCTTTCTTTGTTTTGTTTGTTTGTTCATTTATTTATTTCATCAAATTGTTACATTCAAACAAAAGTTCCCGACTGACTCACCACCTCACACACTCACAAATTCATCTTTCTTCTTTTTTTTTTTTCTTCATTTTTCGCGCCCTTTTTTCGATTTCCAAAAAAAAAAAAAAAAAAAAAAAAAAAATACATGTAAAAAAAGAAGTAAAAGCTTTTTACCATTCTAACCACCGACATCGTTATGGCCAAAGCGACATGAGGTCTTTCGTGTAGCATAATCCTAAAGGTTTGACGAAATGTGTGTCGGAAGCTTGACAGTGTGGACATGCGAGTGAGTGACTGTAGTCGCTGTAGAAATTAAGTCTTTGATGAGGTTGTAGAAGCGGTTTCTGACAATTGTTGCACTGGAAAGACAACAAACAAAAAAAAAAAAAATTACTTTTTTGCTGCTGCCACCACCACCTCTCGCGAGCGTGGGTGTGGATGTGCGCGACGACGTTCGTCACCGAAACTTTTTTGACGTTAAATCCGGAAAGTTGGATAAACAAAAGAAAATTTTTTTTAACCACCGACCGCCATCACCATGACCCCCCTTCTCGAACCGCCACCAACTTTCCCGAGACATTCTCTCTCTCTCTCTCTCTCTCTCTCTCTTTTAGAAAACGAAACACCCGGAAAAATGTCTCTTCCGTTTCTCTGTCGTTTTTCCCAAATTTTCCAAGTGAAAATTTTTTGAAGTGTACAAACAAAAAAAAAAAAACTTTTCTTTATCGTATTTATTTCGTCCGTGACCTCCGACCAATTTTTCATTTGTTTTTCTCTCTATCTTCTGTCACTATTCTCTTTTGTCTTTTACGTATTTCTCTCTCTCCCTCTCTCTCTTTTTTTTCGTGAAAATTTTCAAAATGTGTTTTTCAGCATGAAAAACCTAAAAAGGGTTGCGGCGGATTTCCTTCAAAAACTTTTCTCACTTGACAACTTAGTTTCGGATTGAATTAGAAATCTTTTTTTTTTTTTTTTTTTTTTTGGGTACGTCAAACAAACAAACAAACAAACGAAAAAAAAAATGGAGGAAAACAATTTTCCTTTTTTTTTTTGCGGTTGTTGTTGCTGCTGCTTTTTTTTCTGAAATTTTTCCAAAACATTTTCACGCAAATTTTAACGATTCAATCACCTTAACTTTGACCGTTTTGAAAAATGTGTGTGGGTGTTTGAGAGAGAGAGATGGAGAGAGAGTGACCGCAAAACCATCCCCCGTATGTGTTTCCTTTTTTGTGATGGTGGTGGTGGGAAAAGGATAGAAGAGTAAAGGAAAAAGGGAAAAAAATCCGTTGAAATAAAACAGAGAAACGTTCCATGGAAAAGTTTAAAAAAAAAAAAACACGAGGTTGATAAAAAAAAAAATAGAAATTTCTGGAAAAGAGGAAAAAAGGAAGGAAAAGAGAAGGGAGAGAGGAAAAAGGAAAATACCAAAAGGAAATTTATTCCCTTATAATTTTTTTTTCCCCGATATAAATAATAATACTTTTTTTTTTTTTTTTCATTTTCCTCCATTTTTTTTCTTTTTTTCCCGTCTTCATTCCTTTTTACTCCGGGGGGAAGAGGGGGGGGGTTCAACACACAATTGTCTGGTTTTTGTTTACCTGTTGCAGTCATCACCTGTAATAATTTTTTTTTTTTTTTTCCCACCCTTAAAGCGTTCGTTCGCTCACGGGAAATCCCATTAACCCTTGTAAGCAGAGAGAATGAGTCATATAATGTACAACTCGTAAATTTTCGCTTGGTAAAAAAAAAAAAAAGGAAAAAAAAAGCCCCCCATCAAAATGTCACACGTTTTAAAGAAATTTAAATTGATTATGCCGTAATACGAAAATTACCTACATTCGTAATGTTTTTTTATATTTTTTTCACTCGCACTCTATCTCTCTCTCTCTCTCTCTCTCTCTCTATCTGTTTTCTTCAAGTGATTCACGATGTTTAAAAAAAAAAAAAAATGAAACGTAATAAAGAAAGTTAAAAAGATTATTTTTCACATTGAATTCATCGTAAGAAATATAATTTTTTAACATTAATAATAATAAATAAAAAGAGAGAGAGAGAGAGAGAAACGCATCCGCCGCAACCTATTAACGTATGAACTCTATAAAACTATAACGGCCGTTACAGATGTCTTTTATGTTTTTTTGCCTTGAATTGGCCTTTTGAGTGTTTTTTTCACTCTCTTGACGGAGGAAGAACAACAACAACAACAACAACCATAGAACAAACGAGGATAGAAAAAGAGAAAGAGAAAGAGAGAGAGAAAGAGAGAGAAATGTTTTCTCATCCGTTTTACGTTTATTTTATTTTCCGAAAGCAAAAAAAAATAATAAAATAAAATGAAATAAATGCTCTGTGCCATGCACACCATCTTTATTTCATTCCTAATAGGTTCAGAGTCTGGGGTCCGATAAATTCTTAATTTTCCTTTTTTTACCCCCTCCCACCCCCCATTCCCGGCTCCCGCTTTCCTCCCTCCCGGTTTTACGACCATAAGGTTTCTTTTTTTTTTTTTTTTTTTACCTGGACGTTCTGAAAATGATGGCTGTTGTTTCAATTACTTTTATTTTTTACTCCCTCCCTCCCTCTCTCTCTCTTTCTCCCCTTCTGTCTCTCTCTCTCTCGCTCCTTCAAATTTTTTCCGCTTTAAAAAATTTCATAAAATGTTTAATGTACGCGTATATTGTTTTCGTTCCCCCTTTTTTTTTAAATAATACGACTTTATTAAGGTTGGCACACTCGTGTCACGACACGAGAGAGATCTTTCGGAGGTCATTTTTTTAACACCCTTACCCTAACCACCACCACCCCTTACCCTCTCGTAAAAAAAAAAAAAAGGAAAACTGAATTTTAAAGATAAAATGTCGTCGACAATAAAATAGAATTAACGTAACGACTTGGAATCGAACATAAATTTTGGTCGTAAAACATTCGGCTGAGCTTTGACTAATACGTTAAAATGGGAAGAAGGGAAATGGGGTGGCGGTGGTGGTGCACGGGCGGGGGGTGGGGTGGCAAAAGACGTAAAAAAAAAAAAAAAATATGAAAAACTCGACTCACCCTCAAGCGTTCGGTGCAACACGGCATGGCAGCGAATATGTCGTATGAATACATGGTTCCGATGACGAGAGACGAACCATCCCAGGGCGTCGCACAATATAAACATCTAAGCCTACGTCCGGCTCCCCAACCTTCCAAACAAGTCATGCAAACGGCCGATAGATACTGCGTCCTGTTTTCTATTCTTACTTCGAGACACGATTTGCTATGCTGTCTCGGACTTAGAAAAAAGGTACCATCGACGAGAGGGTATCTGTCGAAAACGAGCATGGGAGAATCACAGAGTACGCAAGATACGCGAGACATGTGCATGGCGGCGAGTGTTGATAAAATGAAACAACGCGTGTCGTCATTTCCGTGATTCCCTTCGTCTTCCATCTGAAACATAAAAAAATAAAAAAAATCAAAGGAAATGAGAAAAAAAAAGTACGTTCAGAAATTTACAAAGAAATCAGAGTCGGACGGACGGACGGTCGGACGAAAATAACATAAAAAAAAATTTTTTTTTGATTTTTCCTGTCGTCGTCGTCGCCATTTTGTTTTTTTTTTTTTAATTACGTACGTTTCCGGTTTTTCTTTTTCTTTCCAAAAAAATTTAATTTCTTTTTTCCTGCGAAACCTGTGTACGACATTTTCTTTTTTATTTTTAATTTTAACTTTTACCAGACGACGACGTCTTTTACCTTTCTTCCTTTTTCCCCTTCCCTTCTCTTCTCTTCTTCCGGAAAGTAAATAATAATAATAATGATAATAATAATTAGAAAACACTATTATTAAATTATTTATATATATATATATATATATATATATATATATATATATATATATATATATATATATATAATTTTTTCCCTTTTTTTTATTTTTTCATTTCTATTATTAAAAATTTTTTTTAAAAGAAAATCAAACGGTAATAATAATAATAATAATGATGATGATGATTCCATGATATAAAAAAAAAAAGTTTTCAAAGACGATGAACGAAAACTATTCGATAACATTAATTAAAATGAATAATTATACAATTTATTAAAGTCCGTTCAACTTTTGAATTTGGGATAAGCCCAAAAAAAAAATTTTTTTTTTTATTGTTCAGATATTTGAGCCAAAAAAACTCGAGGAAAAGAGAAAAAAAAAAAAAAAAGACGTGAGATGAAGAAGCAATAAAGTGTGATAAATTTTTTTAAAAAAAGAAAAAAAAAACCGTTAAAATAATCGTACGAGAATGTTGCATTTTCAAATTTTTTGTTGATGGAACGTACTCGTTAGGAGAAAAAGAAAAAATTTTTTTAAAATTAAAAACAAAAAAAAAAAAAAAAAAGAATAAAAAAAAAAAGCGGGAGCGGAAAAAGACGGGAAAAGGAAAGGGAGGGGGAGAGGAGGGAAAAAAAAGGAAAAGAAAAAGAAAAATTACGTATAATGAGAAAAAAGGGAAATAATTCTTTCTCTACCCGACACGACATAAATTTTTAAAAAATGAAAAGTAAACTGAAAGAAAAGAAGACTGGAAAAAAAGAGTAAAGTAAAATAAAGTAAAGTAAAAGAGGGAAGAGTGGGAGAAATAAGAAGTGTAAGAAGGAAGTCGTGACTCAACCAAGTTTCCAGTAACTTATGCCTGGAATGAAAAATTTCATCGATTTTCCCGCGTCTGGAAAACCATTCGAAAACGAGTTTTCTCTTTTTTCTTTCCCTTTTTTTTTTTTTACCACCTCGAGGAAAACAACGAGTCGCATTTAAATTTATTTACTTTTTCTTTTTTCCTATCTTCTTCGTTTCTCTTATCACATACGTTTCTTATTAGATATTAAATTTTGTATTTATTTAAATTTAATGTAGAATTTTCTCGAACATTCGATAAAAATTAAATAAATAAAACTGATTTCTTTTTTTTTTTTTTTTTTTTTCAACCACGCAAATCCAACACTTTCAAGTAACTCGATTGCATAAACATCATTTTCAAGGCGTTTTTTTTCCCGCCGTTTTTTTTGTTTTTTAAATTTCTATAATGAATATTATTATTATTATAATACAATTAGCATCGCCGCCGCCGACGCCGCCGTCTTCGTCATTAATATCATTATTATTAATTAACATTCAACCACGATGATCCTCTAATTTATTTACCAAAAATTATTTTTCCTTTTTCCCCGGTGTTCCCGTTTGTTTCCCTCCCTCCTTCCCACCCTCCCCGCCATATTTAAATTATTGTTATTCCAAACGTTTGTACAAACGGGGGTGCTGTTAAAAGAAATATTTGCCATCTTTCTTTTACGGCGACAAAATAATTTGTGAAAATTAAATTTCCCAACGCGTTTTTTTTTTTTTTCCCGTCTATTATTTTATCTTTGCGATTTTGAATTTTCTTTGAAACAAATTATTATTATTATTATTATTACTATTATTATTATTATTATTATTATTATTATTATTATTATTATTATTATTATTATTGAACAACAACAACAAAGTAAAACGTGATGAGATTTGTTTTTTAAATATTTTATTATTTCTCGCAAATCCATTCGCATTCATCGATCGATGATACGAATGAACGAAATAGCAAACAAACAAACAAACAAACAAACAAACAAACAAACACGCAAATATAAATACAAATAACAATATAATAACATTTGTAATCGATCGATTTTTGACGAATAAATTTTTATTAAAGGCAAACATATTGTGCCACATAGTGCCACGATAATGTTTAATATCACACAAAAATGTCTTCTTATTCCACGTGATTTAAAAAAAAAAAAAAAAAAAAAAAAAAAAGATCGTAGGAGAGAGAGAGAGAGAGAGAGAGAGAGAGAGAGAGAGAGAGAGAGAGAGAGAGAGAGAGAGCAAATGATATCTTATAACATCTGGCTCTTAACATCAACACACACACACACACAAGAGATTTGAATAATATTTTTCTTTGTACGTTATTTAATCCGAAAAGAGAGAAAGAGAGAGAGAGAAAAAGAAAAAAAAATTCCGAATTCTACGAAGCGATATATCAACAAACAAACAAATAAACAAACAAACAAACAAACAATTATCGATAACAATTATCGGCAAAAAAAAAAAAAACTTTGCATCTCGAAGAAAGAGAGAGAGAGAGAGAGAGAAAGAGAGAGGAAACGTCACATCACGTCCCCGCAAATCATCATCATCATCAACACCATTTCATTTTTTTTTTTTTTCGGGAAAAACTTTATTAAACAATCAACATCGAGATTTTTTAACAACAAAAAAACAAACAAACAAACAATCAAAATAAAATAATAAAAAAATTATCTTCTCTATCTCTCTCTCTCTCTTTTCCACCTTCTTCGTGTCCTCCTTTTCAATCATCTTCCTTACTATTATTATTATTATTTGTTTACGAACAAACGAGAGAAAGAAAAAAAAAAAAACAATTCGAAAATTTTTTTTTACTTACGGCAAAGTATTCGTTACAAAACTCGAAAATCAATAATCGTTCGAGATTCGATAAATCGAAAATTTCATATAAGAAAAGAAAGAAAGTCTCGTAATTCATATAATAATAATAATAATACAAGTATTGGTGAATAACAAACGAACCCATTACCTCATCAAATATTCAAATTGTGTAATTTTTGTTTTGCACGCGCACTCACGCACACGCACACGCACATTTTTCCTCACTCTTTTATTCCATCGTCATTTTTTTTATTATAAATAAATAAATAAATAAAGGATTTCGTTTGTTGAAAGAAATTCTTTGGGTAGACCGAACGAACAAACGAAAAATAAAAAAAAAAATTCGTTACGACATTTGTAAAAGGGGGAAAAACAAAAATAAAAAATAAAAAAAAAAAGAGGAAGAAGAAAGACGAAAGATAGAAAAACAGAAAAATAGAAAGAAAAACAAAATTTAATAATAATAATAATAATAATAATAATAGTAATAATTTCAAAAAAGTCAAATTTCATCACACATACACACAAACAAACAAACAAACAAAAAGAAACGGAATATTTGTGATGATGCGATATATATCAAAAAGGTTTACAACAAAACCGGAAATCATTCTTTCAACCGGAAATGATTGATTGATCTTTCTTCTTTGGTTAACTTTTTGACGCAACCGCAAAAACTCTCATATCATTTAATCCTATTATTATTATCATTACTTTTTTTTTTTTTTCTTTCATTACGTGTCGAATAATAATAATAATAATAATAATAATAATAATAATAATAATAATAATAATAATAATAATAATAAGAGAAACGTCGGTAAGTTTTTTTTTTTTTTTTTTTTTTTTTTTTTTAACGACAAAAAATATTTTTCGCGGTTCACTTTTTGAACGATAGCAAAACGATAGCAAAATCGCCTATTACTATTATTATTATTATTATTACTCATCAAATCGTAATGCAAACTACTAAGTATAGTATAACGAACGATTTTTCTTTTTTTTTTTTTTACGTCTTATTTATTTATTTATGTTTTGGTCCAGCGGCAAATAATCTTTCTTTCTCTCTCCCTTCCCCCTCTCTCTCTCTCTCTCTTTCTCTCTCGAAATAAATTTTCATCTCGGTTGTAAATTTACAACCGATACGAATTATTATTACTTTAATACCATTTTTTTTTTTTTTTTACAAAAAAAAAAAAAATGTTTACACAAACAAACGAGTGTTTTTTCAAGATAATGTTTTTTTTTTTTTTACGAATCGAATGAACGTGCGTGCGTGCATGCGTGGGTGCGTTCGGGGAGACCGGGTGGAAGGTAAGAAGAAAAAGAGAGAGAGAGAAGGATATTTAGAATTGAAAACGACATTTGAGGAAAAGAGAAGAGGGGAGGGGGGAAAAAAACAAACACGTAGAAAAAGAATCTCGGTGTACGATATTACAAGAAGAAAACTCGCATCAAAACCGGTTTTAAAAACTGATTTTTATGACGCGCAATAAATAAAAAAAAAAAAAAACCGCCATTTTATATATTTGATGAAACCTTGCTTAGTCAGCTTAAGTAGAAGTCGTAAAAAGTCCGAGAGAGAGAGAGAGAGAAAGACTCGGAGTTTTACTACCTTTACTACTACTACTGCCCCTTTACGCTCAACTGGACAATGCTGGCCATTTTGTTTTTCCCCTCCTCCTCCTCCTTCCCTTCTCGTTTTCTTTCCACCCCATCATCCACCTCCTCGAGTTTTATTATTATTATTATATTCGTTCTCCTTTCGATCTATCTCACTCACACACACGAGGAAAATGAATTTTATATTAATATCAAACGAACGAATAAAAAATTTCCATCATCTTTTTCACCTCGTTTTTATAAATAAAAAAAAACGACTAAATTATTTTTAAACCCTTCACCCTTACCCCCTCTCCATCCCCCCATTCAGTTTTCATTCCTCC